AAGTGTTGGGATTAAGGTGTGAGCCACTGTTCCCAGCCAATTTGTTTTCTTTTAAATGAACATTAAAAATAAGAACTTTATAAACCTAATTTTTTTTTCTGTCTTCTAAAAGTTCAACTCCATAGGTCCCTCTCATGAAAGAGAGAGATCAGTGCCCATCTAACCTGGGCGGTAGAGAGCAGGCCACCCCAATCCCCCTCACAGACATTACCAGATGCTAAAAAGTCTTGTTTGTAAGAGATATAAAAACATGATGATGGTCTCCTTCTCCTTTCAATAATAGGTGACATTTCATGAAATCTAAAGGTAGTTACAACTGTCAAAAGGCTTGTGATGTTATGCTCAACTCTACACAAAACTTTGACATACACCTTGATATTTCTGTGGACTTATAAGTAGGGCATAGAAAATTTCAGTTTGTTATTTTAACTAAACTTTAATCTATATTTAAGATGGATAAAAGATAGCTAGCTTTAGATGTTCTTCTCCATCTTGTTAATATTTCAGTATATTTTATATACTTCATTTCTGACAAAAAAAATTAGCTTCATCCAAAAAAAAAAAAAAAGAATTGGGCTGGAATGAATTTATAAATATGGACAGTTTTTTTTTTTCCTTTTAACCACTTCACAATAATTTGCTTCATTTGTTAGGGTTGGTCTAATACAGACATTCTTTTATAATTTGTCATCTATATCCATTCATTTGACATTTTCCTGAAGTAGCCAAAATGTGAAAGGAAGAACACGTGAGTAATCCATCAGAACTGTCTTTGTAGGATTCAGGGCATTTCAACGTGGAGCTTCCCTTCATTGACATTATTGTTAGGATTAACACTTGTAGAAAACCCAGTATAAAGCACAAGACCTGAGATGATGTAGAAGACCTCAGGTGGATGCAACCAAAAATGGAGGCCGATGCTGTTCTCAGTTTGACATCTCTATTCCGCCTTCTCTTTATACCATCTTTGAAGGCTTATTTGCTGTGACAATTCCTGATTCACAGATGTGTTTTGAGCCCTTCTCAACAGAGTAGCTAGCTGCCAGGTGGTGAGATTTTTTAAAATAGAAAGCTAGACAGAGAGTTTATTTTCAGAACCAATCAATCAAGCCCTACTATACATGACAATAAAATAGGCATAAGAGAAAATTGTCCTGATAATTGTCACAGGCTTTGATGCTAGATGCTTAGATCTCATAAATTGTAGTCCGTGGGGCTTTGGGTCATATTTAATTTTATTTAGAAGAATTAACGTGCCATTTTAGCCCCAAATTATTAAATTTCAATATGTGCCACTAAATCTGAAGCCACTTCTGACGTTAATTCATTTAACGTTTTGTGGTGGCAATTTGGGTGCCTTCCCAATGATACTGCAAACATATGAAAGGGGCGAATGAACTGAAATACGGTGGAGGAACTGAGGGCTCTCCTTGCTCTTGAGCTTTCTTGCCCAAAGATTCTTGCTCAGAAATACAGCTTCTTTAATCCAATTACTGGGTATATACCCAAAGGAATATAAATCATTCTACCATAAAGACACACTAATGTGTGTGTTCATTGTAACACTATTCACAATAGCAGGGACATGGAATCAACCTAAATGCCCATCAACAGCAGACTGGAGAAAGAAAATGTGGTACATATACACCATGGAATGCTATGCAGCCATGAAAAAATTAAAATCATGTATTTTGGGGAACATGGATGGAGCTGGAGGCCATTATTTGTAGCAAAGAGACACAAGAACAGAAAACCAAATATCACATGTTCTCACTTATAAGTGGGAGCTAAATAATGAGAACACACAGGCACAAAGAAGGAAATAACAGACACTGGGGTCTACTTGAGCATAGAAAGTGGGAGGAGGGAGGGAATCAGAAAAAAAATTACTATTGGGTATTAGGCTTAATACCTGGGTGATGAAATAATCTGTTCAATAAACCCCCACAACAAAAGTTTACCGAGATAACAAACCTGCACATGTACCTCGTACCTCAAATAAAAATTTTTTAAAAAGACCTTCTTGTGATCTTCCTGAGCGAAAAATTATACCACACTGTCTGGAAAGTTTATCTTCTACTAAGCAATCAATTTCAGGAGCATGCAGAATGTTAAGAAGAAGTGGACAAACCCTTAGCCACTCAGAAGTGGAAATTAAAATGAGAAGCCATTAAACAATATAAAGACTGTTAATATATTTCTGTTTTGGCCAAATAATTCTGCTTCTAGGAATCTATATAAAATTATATGCAAAATGTGTTAAAGTAGAATTCTTTTTTATTTTTGTGTGTTTTAGCGATGAAGTCTCACTATGTTGCCCAGGCTGGTCTCAAATTTCTGGGCTCAAGCAATCCTCCCACCTTTGCCTCCCAAAATGCTAAGATTATAGGCATGAACCACGGTCTCCAGCCTAGAATTCTTAGTGTTTGACAAAAATTGGGAACAACTTCAATATCCAGTGATATGGAATAAGTACATGTATCATCTGGGAAATTCCCTTCCCTACTTTTCTATGTAGGATTATTTATTTCCTGGACCCCATGTTGCTCTGTTTTTTGGTTTTACTTGTTTGTTTTGCTGGATCAGATCTTCCAGGGGCTCTTTGAGAAAGAGTGCAGAGAAAGGAAGCAAACACAGTAATGTTTTAGAATATTCTTTTTTCTAAAAATGGCTTTAACTCATACTTAATGGTTTGATTGGATATCAGATTTAGTCTGAAATATTTTTTTCTCTGAGTTGTGAAGATACCATGCTCTTGACTTCTTGATTTCAGTGTTGCTATTGAAAGTTCTATGTCCTAATTTTTCATCCTTTTTATATGACCTTATTCCAGGGTTCTGATATTTCACAATATGTCTTAGTGAGATTACTCTTTTCTATATTGTACTTTGCTTTTTGATGGACTCTTTAAGTCTGAAGTTTCATGTTTTTTAGTTCCAAAGCTTTCACTTATATTGTTTTCTAGTATTTGTTTCTCTCTTCTCCCTGTCTTGATCTGGACATTTGACTCCCTGGACTGGTCATCTAGTTTTGTTAACTTTTCTTTACAATTTTGCATCTCTTTTTATTTATGTTTTATCTTAAGGAAAATTTGTCTGACTTTATTATTCATTCCTTTCATTGACTTTTTATTCTTGCCATCATATTTTTTGAATTTCAAGAATCTTTTCTTTTTTTAAGTATTGCTTTTTTGTTCACTATTCCATGTATTAAAATTATGCTCCTTCCATTTTCCTTATCTGTAAATTTCTGTTTTATATTATCATCTGTCTTTTACAGCTACTTTTTCTGCAAACTTCTTAATATATGTAGGATAGTAAAAAGAGCATACTTTTGTCATTGTTGATTTTTTCTGTTGTGTAGTGGGTGACTATTCTTCTGCTTCTTTCTTTTATCTTTCTTTCAGCTTACATTCCTTTTTTTTCTAAAATTTAATAGTTACCTAATTTAATTAGTTCATTAATCTATCCCTCTTAAATGAACTAATTTAATACAATTAGTTCATCACTTTTCAACCGTTCAATTAAAAATATTCTTCTGATGAAATGCATATAATAAAAAACCTCAAATTGACTTCAAACACATATGATTACTTTAGTAAATGCAGAGAAAGTGTTTAAGTGTTTTATAAAATCAGTATCAAGTCATGCTTAAAAATAAAACAAAACAAAATTAGAAATAAAAGACAACACCCTCAACCTGAAAATCATACCTATGATATATCATTTAGCACATATCATACTTCATGGTGATACGTTAAAAACATTTCGTTAAGTTCAACAGCGAAACAAGTGATAACTAGTACTAGTCACTTTCAACACTGTTCTACATTAAATACTGCAACAAAATCCTTTAAAATACCACACAAAACAGAATAGAAAATACAAAGTTATTCACACACTATTACTTATATCTAAATAAATTGCAAATTAAACAAATACTTAAATATTTAAACAAAAATAAAACTTCTGTAAATTCATGAGGTAATTCCTTTATAACCTCAGAGTGAACAAGGCTTTTTAAATTGTTTTAAAATCCAGGGCAGCAGATAAATTAACTACATTAATATAAAAATTTTCAATGCAAAAAATCATTAATTATGATTGACTCAGCATTTCTGCTTCTGGAAATCTATCCTATAGATATCTATACTCTCCATATAACATTATAAAATTGTTTATAACATGAAATACTGGAAGTATGCATTAGTAATGAAATTATTATTATTGTTGAATAATATGTAGCTAAAGAAAAACATGGCAATGCTCCCTCATAGCATTATATCCAGGGGATATTGTTAAGTGAATAAACCAAAATGCAGAATAGTAAATATAACAAGCCATTTTTTGTGCAAAAGGGAAAAATTAAAAATAAATATATTGATTTTCTTGTAATTTCATAAAGAAACATTAAAAAAATAAGAAAATAAGAAAAGTGGTTATCTACAGGTGGGGAAAAGGGAAGAGCTTAGAAGTAGCAGGATAGATGAGACTTCTCAATGCATGGTTTTGCACATTATTTTGATTTTTGCACCACATGAGTGTATATATATTCTATTCATTTATTAATATCAAATATATACAAAATAAAAATAGTGAATAAAATTCTAACAAATATGTGTGAAACCTTTATGGAGACAGTTACTCAATTTTTAAAAGAAAGAAATGAGATATATTGTATGCATGCACTGTAAAAGTCAGTTCTACTCAAAATGATTTATTGAGTCCATTCATGCTTTAGCCAAAGTTTAAGATTTTTAGTGGAACTTGTCCAGCTGATTTAAAAATTTTAATGTAAGTGCCAAGATCTACGAATAGGTAAGATAATCTTGAAGAAGAACAAACTGGAAAGATGAGTGTTCTGTCAAATATATAGACTTATTTTAAAGCTATAGTAATAAATATAGTACAGTCATAGAACAAGGATAGGCATATAGACCAACAGAACAATTAATGAACTCAGAAGCACTCTATGCATAGATCTAGACATAGCAATGATACCTGTGTGGTAGAGATGTTAATATGCACCATGTATCCATGTGCTGCCACACAACAGATCCCTTCACGTAAGCTGGAACCATGTGAGTATTTCTGACCAGTGGAGCATGAAGAGAAGTGATGGATGTCACTTCCAGGCCCGGCCAGTTAAAACCTATTGGAGGAACAAACAGAGAGTCACTAAGCTATAGCAATATTCAGTTTCTTGGTCTGAGTAGAAGGTATAAAGATTTTGTATTATTTCCTTTAAAATTTACTTATATTATTTTTTCTGTATGTTTTTTCATGTAAATGTTATTTTTCACATTTTTTGTAAATTATACAAATTAGAATAGGTGAAGAATGGCTTCCCACAAATATTCTAGGCACACGAAGAATTTTTTGTCTATTGCTGCTGTTTGCATAGCGTATTGTCAAGTTTCACTACTTGGTATGTAAAAGATTTTTTACAATAATGGTTTTATTATGGATTTAACCTTTTAACAATATAAAAATGACTCACCTTACTCTCTTCAGTAATTTCTAACTTAAAATGTTATTTCTGTTATTAATGTTACCATTACTGTCCTTTGTTAGTGGTTTCCTAGTAGAGATTTTGCTGAATTATGTGTGTATAATTTTTAATGCATATGATTTTAAGAAAATTTAATTAGATATTAAAAATCTGATTCTCAAGTTTTATTCTTTTAAATGGCAACATGTTCTGCAACCCAAATGTACTATCAAAACAGTATGGTTGATTGTACTTCTGCCATTTCGCTTTATACTTCCTGGGTTTTAATGTTTGTGATTTTTCTGCTTTTACTATGTAAATGCCTTTGCTCATTGTTATCTTTAGGTGTTTAGAAGGTAGACACCATGCTTTGAATTTTAGAAGTTATTTATTTCATTTTTCAAAGTGTGTGTATATATTTATGCATATATGTATGTGTGTAAAGATGAATTTATGAAATGGCTATTTCTGTAGAGGCTGAGAGTTATGCAAAGATTAGGACTCAGCAAAGAGGCAAGTGGTCTGGCAAACAAACATGGGCTTGCGACATGCTTCAGGGGACTTCACCTCTGAGGGTCTGGAAAAAAGAAAGTGCGCTATTAGAAAGTATGATTTGCTTCAAAATGCAGCTGCTGGCTGCTTAACTCATTCCACAGGCACAGCTGTGGCATGAATTTGTAGGTTAGAAAGGCTCTACAATATTTTAGATATTATTAGGGAGAATAATATCTGGCACTTCTGAGTTGCAATTGCAAGGTACATGATTTTAATGTGCTGTAGTGTTCCAGCGATATACGAGCTTTGTACTGTCGGGCCCAGGCCCGGGGTGGGGCAGTGGTATGTTCACTGCTTGCCACAAATTCTGGATTTGCGTTAAGGTCCAAGACGGACACTGGAAAGGCTGGCCTCGGAGTTATATGGCTTGCCTGCAAGCTCTAGCGATACACCATATGGACTTGGGGTTGAACAAATGTATGCACAGGAGGAAGAAATCTTCCTTAGAAATCAAGTTTCTTAGACTTAAGCAATTTCTTATAAAAGGATGGTAAAATCAGACACAAGGCCCAGAACTGAAAACATATGCTGAAGGGAACGTGTGGAACTGGTAACACAGGTGGCCACCATAGCAAATTTCTCATCTTGGTCCAAAAGAAGCAATGAATCAAATATGGCTTAGAGAAGTATTGCATACACAAGGAGCTTTTCTCCCTCCAGACATGGCCAATATATAGAAAAATCAAACCAAATATATAAATATTCTATGAATTAATCTCAAGCTGGAAAAATTTTCTTCTTGAATGTAAATTCTCAGCTTCTGGATTCTTGACCACTGGCATTGACCAACTGACATCTCATTGAGCCTGAAGCCAATATTGTTTTCTCCTTTCCACTGACATTTTGTGCATTTGTTATTGTTGGCACCATTAAGTACTCAGTAATAGGAAGATAATTTTGGCTAGGATAGTAACTGAGGTGCCAGGGATAGCTTGTTTTCTAAATGTTGCTTGTGTGGGGTTAATGCTGGGATAATCTTGTGTCTCTTATTATATCTTTAGATCCTTAATAAATGAGGCTAATGGGAGATGTGTGGCATTGAACTAATCCAAGCTATGAAGCTCTTAAAAGGTTTTCACACATTCCACGGAGAAAGGTATTTCACCACCCTACAGGATACAAAAACAAAACAAAACAAAACAAAACAAACTACTGGGCCTGAAACTGAGAAAGATGAGAAATTTGAGAGGTTAATTATTTATTTTTAAATTGCAATGTTTGAACTCTGAAATTTAACTTGTGTGACTAAGGTTTTTTTTATTTTGGCTTTTAGCTTCTTTGGATCTTAACATCTTTGTGCTTTAATTTGCAAGGGAATTTAAACTTTGAATTTTCTATTTTGGAACTTGATGATGGGGGATTTGTCCAGCATCTCTACAGCATTTTTAAATTATTTTTGTTATTTTATTTTTTTATTATTTTTATTATTATAGTGACTTTATGCATGCTAGTATTGAATACTGCAATGTCATTCAATCTCATTTCAGACAGTTGCTTCTGGGTACATAAATTCCATAGGCATAAGTTCATTGACTGGGTCATTTTTGCTGTAAAAAGAATGTTGACCAGAAGCATTGTGAGGTGAACTCAGCTATATAATGATGAATGAGGCATTGACTAAGTTCACAGATGGTCTTGATGAAAGTAGCATAGAGGGTGGGGAGGAAAATCCACATCCAGAATGAGTCTCTGTTAATATGGGAACAAACAGAAGCCTCCTCCATGATGGAAGAGATCCATTGTCATCAAGCTTCCACCAGTTAACTGGTTGCTGCCTTTTCCTTATGATGCCAGTTTTAAAAATTAACTTTGGGCTCTCTTACTGGCCACTTGGACAATCAGAACTGGTGGTAGTCATATCTGCTTTTCAAAGAGGAAATATATATTGTTGTACCCATGTATAACCTCTGGCTCGGCATCATTGACACTTTGTTCATAACCTATTGAACAAGCACTGGCCAGCTTGGGAAAGGGACTAATTTATATCCACTGAATGGGTCATCTTGGTAACACTGCCCTGAGTTCTTATGTAGTCAGTGTGCTGTGGGAGCATTTACACGAGACACCATTACTCTCCCTTGGGCACATTCGTAAAAGTCCATATCTCCTTAAGTCTCAGACATTTTTGTAACAAATATAATCTTTATTTTCTTCCGAGTTTCTAACTATTCAGTCAAACCATTGCTTACTGAATCAGTATAGACATATAATTTTGACCATCTTTCCTTCAATGTATACAGCCAGAGGAACCCGTAGAAATCCTATTCTGTCTGCCTTCTCCCCTCAGCAATAGCTATGATTCCACAGAAGTCCCTATCTTTCTCAGTTTTGGACTATTTATGAACTAGATTTCATTTTTTTTTTCTTCCTCAGTTAACTGGTCATGGAGAACGCACCATGCAGTCGTAAGTTAGGAATTAGGGAGAGATGTTCTAGTAGTGGATGTAGGAGTTGTAGAAGTATGAACAATCTGCTCATAAAAATTACTCCTGCATTGAGAACTGACTTTATCATGACCTTGTTTATAACTTGGTTCCTTCATGATGGAATGCTGCTATATTACACTCAACTTTGTGACTTAGAGGACCAGATAAAAGCCAGGTCACAATGGGGAGACCATTGTGACCAGGCCATATGGTCACGTAACTCCTACAGTCAGACATTCAGGCTTTTCAATAACTCAGTATTAAGCCAGGAGCTGTGTGTGAGTATTTGCAGAAAAGCGTATGGATTCTCCAAAATCCCTAGAGTTTTGCACTGTGACTCTTATCCCGGTTTGCCGCAAACCCCATACAGAATCTTAAGCTGCCAAAGATACTTTGAACACTGTTTTATCTGCTAGGTTATGAAGCCCAAATGGCAGAACAGTTTGCACTCTAGCCTGAACCAGCTGGAGGTCTTTTCTTGATATGACCCACAGTCAAAGCTGCCATTCTTACAGGATGCTTGGCAAATGGGTCAAAAGAGCTCACCCAAAATTATTTGCCTGCAAAATACAAAAAAGAACATTATGCCTCTTTCTTAGTGGAAAGGGGTGTAAGATAGAATAAATTTGATTTCCCATTGTATTAGGATATTTTTCTATTCCCCAGACCCTCGGACTTTTCAACACTTTCCTAAAGTAGCACACATTTAATTTTTTTTAATGTGTGAGATTATTATCCATCTATCTTTGTCTTACCAGAGCCATGAAACCCGTTACTTCTTGCTCATCAGGCACTTTTGGCCCACTTTCATCCAATAGAGTGACCAGCTTATTGGCCTATGTCCTGTGGATATGAGACAATAAGGTTCTTGTGAAATAAATAGTAACAGAGTCAGAGATTGATGTAGCCTTGTCCAGGATAGTGAAGATGCATTGCCATTGTGGACAAATGAAGAGAAATCACTGTGGTGACTTAGATGTTATATCTGACAGGTATAGAGAAATAATAATTGCATAGGAAGAATTATATACTGTTGATTTCTTATAGTAAAAAGACAAAATCTGGATATTGCAGCTGAAGTCACTATTTAATTTCATTTAAAGTAAATCTACTTTCATCTTTTTTTTTAATTTATTTATTATTATTAAACTTTAAGTTGTAATTCAAGATGGATTAGAGACTTAAATGTTAGACCTACTTTCATCTTTTAAATCAGAACTCTCAACTGTGTGTGCCTTCCAGGCAAGTTAAGCGAGAATGTGTAGGAATTAGTATAGCTTCATCTCTCAAGACTTTCAAGAATGTAGTATTGCTTCTACGTCATTTATCTTGTGTAGTGGAATAGAATTCCGTGAGCCCTCCCACCGTGATGACTGCCACTCCATGTTTCAGGGAGCCAGTGGAGTCTAGGAATTTTATTTTCAACTCTGCATTCAGGAGCTAAGTACTTCTTCCTATGGAATGAAATGAGCAAATTCACTGAACTCTTGGCCCCACTGTAAGATGGACTTGGTCAGAATGTTCATAAACTGCAACTCTAGTGGACTATGGCAAGGTGTGGATTTATGGAGATTGGCCTTACTTCAGAACCACATACTAGAAATCACCAAAGTTATGGGTATTTCTCTTTACTGCTGTATATTCACCCTGATGCATAGTTCTAGGTATCTTTGGGAAAGACCAGGAGAAAGATCAATAGTGCATACTTGTGGCTGTGTCACAGGGTCTTTGAGGGTATCAAGCTTCTCTTTATTCATACTCTATAACTAGTCTCCAGATGAGTTCTGAAGTATAAATCTGGAAATTAGGTATGGAGTTATGCCTCTCTGTCATTATGGTTCAAGTATTACCTTCATTAGGAGGTAATATTTGATTTAGAGGTTTTATATTCGCCGTTACTGAGATAAATTGAGACCTAAGGCTACTTATCATCTAATTCAGTTTTAATAATTTATAATTCGTATAATCATTGCCACAAATTCTGAAGGTTAAAATGTGGTGACCACTTTGGTCTTGCTGTCAAACACAGAAACTACATCTACCTTCTCTGACGGTTGTGTGCTGTCACATGGCCTCTCTCACTTCTAGCCCCATCTTCACTGGAAACATGGAGTCTAATTCAATGACAATATCCCCCAAAACAGACGCTGCTAGTGCTCCAGACACATTCTTGCTGATTCCTAACCTTGAAGGACAAAGGTGTACAATGTTAAGATAAGGTGAGATGGTTACCCAGTGATGGCTTTCAAAGAGTTGAAAATTCTGTAGTCCATTTTTATTTGTTACTTGGTACATGAATTAACCAGCATGGTTAAAAGCATAGACAGTATGAGATAAATCTAGTCCTATCACCAGAATTTGTGCATAGTTTAAGGAAAAAAGGCAGACTCACAGACAAGTTCTATTTTCAAAATCAACAGAGCCAACCTGTGGGTTGAATGGATAAGCAAGCTCCTAGATGGCATATTTGTCTAAGATTATGAAAGACAGTAAATTATATGCCCAGAGCTTTAAAATCATTAACTAAAGAAGGTTCACAATACTTATCAGTGGGATAATCTGATGTTATCAGTTGGAAAGTTTGGCTTAGAGTACAATGACATAAGGCTTCAAAATATCTCACGGAATTCTGTGGAGCCATGGCCCATAGAAAAGTATTTCCCAAGAGTGGCGGCATGCTTTTGTAAAATAGTGTTACAAGTTTCTACAGCACCACTAGGTCTAACCGCACCCTTTTGACATGGAGAGACTATCTAGTATTATTGTACTTGCCTGGGATTGATTTGCAGAATTAATTTATTTTGGGGGTTGTAGGATGATGTAAAAATGAAATGCTTATCCCAGGAGTCAAAGTCAAAGAGAATGAACATGCAGGGCTCATCTGGTTCGGCCTCTGATGATAGACACGAGGATGAGAAGGCGTTTCACAATCACGAGGTTGAATTCGGTGCCATCTTGTGTGTCTTTTCCTCATTTGTGTTCTCGCGACATAGATGAGAAAAATAGGAAAACACACAATCAAACACTGGTGTATGGTTTTTATTAATGTTACATTGAGAACTGTAACACTATGATTATACTTGAGGATCAGCAAAATTGGCAAAAGAAATGTACTGGTTATACTAATAGTTATGACATAGCATAGGTTATATGAGACCAATAGACATACACTTTTGATAAGCAGAATATCAAGATTACCTCTAGAATGGAGATGGGAGATTCTTTAAAGATAACTAGTTTCTAATTAATAAATTATATGCTGTATTATTTTCTGTGCTGTATAAAAATTGACCACAAATTTAGCTGCTTTAAACAACACCCACTTATCTCATCATTTCTGTGGACCAGGAGTCCAGGCATGGTTTAGCTAGGTCCTTCTCATTGGTGCAATCAAGGTATTGGCCAGAGGTTAAGTTCTGATCCAAAGGCCCAGCTAGGGAAGGACCCACCCAAAACTCACTTGGTTATTGGCAGACTTAATTTCTTTGTGACTGTAGGACTCAGCAGCTTGCTTCTTCAAAATGACATAGGAAAGTGTAATGGTTGACTTTACGTGTCAATTTGGAGGGTGTTTTAGGATGAGATTGACATTTAAATTGGTGAACTTCGAGGAAAGCACATTGCCTTCCTTAATGTGGGTGTGCCTCATCCCATCAGACAAGAACAAAAACTCCACCTTCCCAAGTAAGAAGGGATTCTCCAGCAGACGGATGCTAGACCTCATCCACACTGCCAGCTGTCCTGGGTCTCCAGCCTCCTAGTCCACACTGCAGATTTTGACTCACTAACCTCCATAACCACATGAGCCAATTTCTTACAATAAATTTATTTCTGTATGTATACAAATCCTACTGGTTCTGTTTCTCTGGAAGACCCTGACTAAACAGAGGGATTCTAGAGCCAGACAACGACCAAGATGGAGTCATCTTACATACTGAAGTGTATGAGAGAGTGACATCAGATCTTCTTGGCCATATTCTATTCACTAGATGCAGGTCCCAGACCTCACACACATTCTTTGGTTAAAGATTATACAAGGATGTGAACATCAGGGCACTGGGAATTGTGAGAGTCACCTTCAAATCTGTCTGCTACATCCTCTAGCCTCTTAAGTGAGAAACTGTGTAGAGTGATGGACAAGGCCTGGGCCTTCAACACAACCATGAATTTATATTCTGGGCCTTCAACTTATATCTGTATCACCATAGGCATTTTTCAGTATGGTAAGGGGATCTCCAAAGGAGAGGAGCCAAATCTGGAGCCCCGATGCGGGTGATCCGGTGATTATCTGCGGTAATGCAGGAATTTATAGTTGAAGATAAGGGTGATACAGTGCGAAGATGGAGTGAATCATTCCCCCGGGAAGCTGTAGAGGTCAGAGCGACAAGGCAGGAAGAGGGACCCACCCTTTCTACTGGAAATGAAAGTACACGGGTACCCTCAGGCCGCAGAATACAGAGATGGATGATAAGAAGCTAAAGGAGTTTGAGTTGCAGGAAAGTGAAGAGGGTAAATTATAACACGTTCTCAGCTTTTAAGGATCATGGAAATTGGTTGCCTTGCTTCTTACCCAGCCTAGGGTAGAAAAGGAGTCTATCCTCGCACTGTAGTTCCAGAGCAGACTCAGGCTAGAATGTGAAGTTGCCCATCTCAGGATACCTCAGCTGGGAGGTAGAGGTTGTAATCACCCAAGGTGTTCTTCTTGTCCTCTGCACGGACGAGGCTGGCCACGGCAGGAGAACTGAATTAGCACTCAAATCAGTCTCTCTGAAGAAGGCTTGGAAGTTAATGTTTTTATGGACAATTTGGTGGGCAGGGGGCTAGGAAATGGATGCTGCTGACTGGTTGGGATGTGGAAAATGATCCTTGTACTCAAAGTGGGCCTCTGGGTGGGGCCATAGGACAGGTGAGTCATGAGTTAGGGGTCAGAGTGAAGTCAGCCTGAAAAACATCCAAAAGGAAAAAACAACTGGCCGGTCGCGGCAGCTCAAGCCTGTAATCCCAGCACTTGGGGAGGCTGAGGTGGGTGGATCATGAGGTCAACAGACCGAGGCCATCCTCGCCAACATGGTGAAACCCTGTCTCTACTAAAAATACAAAAATTAGCTGGGCATGGTGGTGTACGCCTGTAGTCCCAGCTATTTAGGAGGCTGAGGTGAGAGGATCGCTTGAGCCTGGGAAGCGGAGCTTTCAGTGAGCTGAGATCACGCCACTGCACTCCAGCCTGGCAATAGAGCGAGACTCCATCTCAAAAAAAAAAAAAAGAAAAGAAAAAACAATCAATCTTAGGTTTGACAATAGAGATATTCTCTATAGAAGTAACTGGGGACATCACAGATCTTGTGACCTCTGGCTACGTGACTCCTGAGTAGCAAGAGATTATAGAAACCAGACCTTCATTTTAACAGATTTCAGCCCCCTCCCATAATCCTAACCTTGTTGCCTTTCATTACTCTTATAAAGACAGTGTAGCCTGTTTTACATGGATCATCCTTGCTTTAAGCTGTGAAAGGAGAGTAAATCTTCGGACCCCCAAATCACTAAGCTAAAGGGAAAGGTCAAGGTGGGAACTGCTAAGGGCAAACCTGCTCCCCATTCTATCCAAAGTCATCCCTCTGCTCACTGAGATAAATGCATATCTGATTGCCATCTTTGGAAAGGCTAATCAGAAAGTCAAAAGAAAGCAACCATTTCTCTCTTACCTACCTATGACCTAGAAGCCCTCTCCTCGCTTCGAGTTGTCCCGCCTTTCTGTACTGAATCAATGTTCATCTTACATATATTGATTGATGTCTCATACCTCCCTAAAATGTATAAAATGGAGCTGTGCCCTGACCACCTTGGGCACCTGTCGTCAGGAC